TTATGAGGGTAACAAAACTAGCATTAGTGAATATAAGGCCGATATGATGCTGCAAACCGGAAGTCGGATACCAATTATTTTTCCGGCGCCTATAAAGCGGTACCAATATACCAGTACAGACTTGCGGTCCAGAACTAGTCTGGTCGCAGGCTCATCAAGTATAAAGTGGATTATCAAGGGCATTTGGCTGGTTCACTGGGTTCTGGCCCCTCCAACGAACCGCGGCCCCTCCTCTGGCTCCTCCCTCGGCGCCTCCCTCGCGCCGCCGCCCTCCCACTCCGTCAAGGCCCCCAAGCCCTCCCGCAAGGTCATCCTTACCCCGGGCCACTCCCCGCTCGACTGGGCGCGCATCTCCGGCCCCAACGCCGACCTGCGGAACCTGCCCCCCGACACCCCCTACCTCAAGGTCACCCCCTCCCAGCTCAAGATCATGAACGGTCGCAAGGGCAAGGACGCCTGGATGGCGCTGGGCGGCCGCGTTTACAACATCACCCCCTACCTGCCCTACCACCCTGCCGGCGTGCCCGAGCTGCTGCGAGGCGCCGGCCGCGACGGCACCAAGCTGTTTGGCGAGATCCACCCATGGGTCAATTACGAGACCATGCTTTCCGCTTGCCTCGTCGGGCTCTTGGTCGAGGAGGGCGAGGGTTCCAGGCCGAGTGCAATGGATGAAATGGACTGAGAGGGAGGCTCCCTTTTTTGGTCTTTCTGGTTTTCTGGCATGGGTGATTCAAGCCACATATTTCAATGGGCCGGAGAGGCACATACATACATACACATGCTGTGTTTTTTTTTATTCGACAGGCTGAGCCGCCTGCATACGGAAATACGGATAGAGAGATACCCCCAATAATTAGAAGCAACGTTCACCAGCGGATGCAAGTCATACATCATCGTAATCATGGTTGTTGATACCGGCCTACCTCGCCCTCTCAGCGCCTTCGACCAAACTTGAACTTGAGCTCGTCGTCGCTGTCGTCACTATCGGCACCTCGATGGCCTTCCGCGTTGGCCGAGGTTTCTTCGCCGGAGGTTCCTTGGCTGAGGCGGGCGCCGCCCTCTTGCCCCGCGTCTGTCTCTGCGATTGGCTCTGGCTGGTGTTTTGTGACTGTGTTGTCGCCGCGCGAGTGCTCCTCGTCCGCGAAGCCGGTGTCGGTTCTGGCTCGGGCTCAGGCTCAACCTCGGGCTCGGTGTCGGGCATCGCCTGGTCATCCTCGTTGTCATCGCTGAGGACGATGGGCTGTGGACACGACGCGGGCCGAGAAGCCGGCGGCGCGGCGGACTCGGTCTGGGTCGTCCCGCTCTTCTGGCTCTCGTTGCCTTTCTTCTTGCCCTGGCTGTCTTCGAGCCAGTAATCGTCTCCGATGCCGAACTCCTTCGTCTTGACCTGTGTCAAGGGCACGATAACCTTCTGCGGAGGGCGGCCCGTAAGTTCGCCGCGTGGCCTGAAGCGCTTGAAGTTCTTCCGTCCGTTCCATCGTGGGTCCCATCTGCCATTCTCGGCATCTTGATCGTGACTACTATTTGACGTTGGTTGGCGGATAGGCATCTCCTCGACGATGTGCAGTCGACGGATTTCGCTCAGGTCGACGTCGTCGGGTAGATGGGCAAGATCTTCCTTTTCCGCCTTGGCGCGAGCTTCCATCTCCTCACGCTGTTGCCGAGCCACGTCGAGGACGTCAATCTCTTTCTTGACCTTCCTTGTTTTGGGTACGATCCTGGGTTCAGAGACTTTCGCAGTTTCGGGCGACTTTGGGCGAGGAACCGCTTCCTCACCAGCGGCGATCCGTCGTCGTTTCACTGCCGCGGCAGTCGGGATGATATCCTCAATACTGTCGTCTTGGGCCACAGGGCGCTTCCTCTGGGATCGTCCATTCGTCGGCTCTTGCAGTGGATCCGGAGTCTCATTGGGAGGAAGCACTTCTTGGGATACGAACAGCCCTTCATCGGGGTCGTTGTTAACCGAAGCATTGGCTGAAACACTCTCGGTCACCGGGGGGGTTATCGTCTCCCCTTCGTCATCGTCGGCGTCGAATCCCGCAAACCGCCGCGTTGCTGCCCTCCGTACTCTGCTCCTGGCAATAGCCGTTTTGGAAACCGATGATGTCTCTTGGCTTTGTTGTGAAGTCATCGGCTGATCAACGTCCATCGAACTGGATTCCGTATTCGCCTGTTGTTCGGGCGCTGGACCTGAAGGAACTTGGGTAGGGTCGACTTCCAGCGGCCGGCGCAAGATACTGGCGTCATTTATGAGGATAGCCTCAAGGAACTCGTTCTGCTCGATAGGTCTGTGGTCCAAGCGGAGGGAGACTTGAGTGAAAAAATCCGCGTACCAGCCCACTGCGTCGCCTTTGTTGGGAACAAATCGGACCACAACCACCCCTCTCCCTTCGCTGCCATCCTCAAAGGAGCCGAGGCCCTTCTCACCTGCTTCCGTTTTGACGTATAGAATAAAATCATCAACCGTTGTTGTGTTCGGGTCCACGTTGGTGTACAGGGCCTTGCCTTTGCCGTTGGTGATTGGCGCTAACAAAGTATTGAATTGTCCCTTGTCGTAGAAGATGAAGGTGTAGCCCTCGAAGATCTCCTGACGGCTCTCATTTGGTGCATAGGCGGATGGGGGCCGTTCCACAGGCTCGCCACCACGGGGAGGCAGATGTTCCAGTGGATCCGGCCAGCTACCATCAAAGTCATTCTCCAGCGCAGATGCAGCTATGCCATCCCCATTTGCAGGATGCGTTGCCGCTGCAACAACTGCATCGATGAACGAGTCGGTAACGATATACTTTCCATTAATAAGAGCCTGTAAACCCTTGGAGGTATTGCGCTTTTTGGTGACCACATGCGTAGTGTGTTGAACGCTGTAGTCCGCTGCCAGCTTGACGTCCAGCTGCTCGAGTTCGCCACGCAGTCGTGAGAAGGGATCAGATTGCAGTTCTCGGCTCGAAAAGCTAAAAGTCAGCACTACAGGGTGCCACGACAACCTAACATGTTGTCAGCCAAGTCCCTCATGGCCGGCCACGGCATTCCTTCGTACCGGAACATGTCAGGGCAGCCGCCCATCTTGATCTCGACCGCAGCTTCGGTGATGACATGCTTTTCACCCTTGTATTTGTGCCCGTCCACAGTCGTCCCAGTCTTAGTGCCCAAGTCTTCGATGGTGACTTTCGATCGACTCGATACATTTTCCTGCACAGCCTATCAGCAATCCAATACATTTTCTCTGGCGTGCGAAAGCATACACTGTCGCCATCCGGCACAGCGCCGACCTCAATCGTCAGATGCTTGCGCGAGATGGTCTTGTGGGAGATCGCAAGTTGTCCAGCTGCGTCTGTCAGCGATATGGTTCGGTAGTCGTCGTGGATAAGGCGCGCATACGTTCGGAGGCGGTACGGCCGAAGAGGTATCGTTTGCCAGGCCGAAGCCAGAGTCGCCGGCCTAGATTGAATCACGTTAGCCTTGTGTCGCGTTCGGCAGATGGTGGGAGTGTTTTCAAAGATTAGTACCCTGCAATACATTGCCGTCGGTTTCCAGGAGCCACATTACGAGTTGAAAGGTTCGCTGTCCAACGAGTTTGCCGGTGTGGCGCAAGATGTCGTGGGTCGCGACTGGATCGAGGTTGCGAGGGGGAAGCTAAAAGGCGTCGTACGCGTCCCAAGAAACGCGGGAAAGTGACGCCGGGTCACGTGTCCACTTCCAGGCAGCAGACGTTTTTTGAAGTAGAGGAACTTATGAGAAATGGACCGAGGGACAGGGATTGTTGAAATGTCTCGAGCCCAATCTATCAGTACTTCAATTTGACGTTGTCCTTTTCAATTCCCACATTTATCGCGACGGTAGGTAAAGAAGGACGTCGCCACTCAATATTAGCGAGCTCAGCTCGAACAGCCTACGAGTTCATCTCTGCTATGCAAAGCCGTCCTAATGCTAGCTTATCTACTGCTTTATCTTTCTCTTCGTATGTGTAGCTGTTTCCTTGCCGCCGTCGTTTACTATGACGCCCAGAATCCAGCAGTTGACGAGGAAGAACCCCACCGATGCCGCGAATAGGCCTGGGAAGAAAGTACTGACGCCCAGGAACTCGAGTTGGAACCCCTGATGCAGCCAAGCCGCCTGTGACACAATCCACAGAGCCAGTGCCGTAACTCCCAGCTTCGGGTTCTTCAGGAACGACGAGTTAGGAAGATAGATGGGCAAGAAGACCATGTACCAGAGGAAGTACTGCTTTGCTGTCAGGAATGGTCTGCCGGTAGTCGCGAATTGTGCATTCTTACCTGGCTGGTGCAGACCTTGTTAAAGGTTACAAAGGCGAAGGTTTGGGCCATCATGGAGGTCGCGAGGTCCTTTTTGGCCAGAATAAACGGGATCAGGATCGTCGACAGAAGGATCTGGGGCAGAAATGCGACTGATTCTATGCGGATGGCTGACGTCGACGGAAATGCAGAGGTCAGATACAAGAGGATGTTGTACGGACTGAAGTTGTGCCTGTGATCGATCCTTGTGACGTGATGGAAATACGTGTGTACCAGAAACGGTGCCCCATAGCTGTACGATAGTCAGCTCGGCTCAGGATGGCGGGTGCTTGAACTTACATTGAGTACATGGCGACATTGAGGCCCATGAAGGTTGCAAGACTGACTACGGCCAGCTTGATCCTTTCAGTGTTCAGGAAGTTGGCGATTGTTTCTCCCAGGGTCTTGCCATGGGCATTGGTTCCCTTTCGCCCAAGCGCATCCTCGTCCATCCACCATACGATAGCCGGCGCGTAGATGAATGGGTAGATCTTGAAGTGAACTCCGAACCCAAGAAGAAGACCCGCCAAAGTTGTTCTCCCCTCAAGGACAGCCCACAGAAGGGCCATGACCGTCACGCCAAGTAGACCTTCCGAGCTTCCACGCGTGCTGATGGTTGCGACCATGGGGTTCAAGAGCCAGATGCTGGCGAACTTGAGAGCCTTTGCCTGCTCCACGCCTCGTCTATCCAAGATGCGCACGATGTAGTACCCTGCAATCAGGTCGGCGGCAGCAAAGACAAACTTTCCAAAAGCGAAGCAAGCCTGCGAGGCCGTGGGGACGAGCATCCACGCCAGAAGAGGCGTATATCGGTAGGTCTCGCGGTCATACGGCGAGCGCCCTTGAGCGGTGAAGCGAGCCGCGTCGGTGAACACCAGGTAGTCGATGTCCGTGTACTTAACGGCTGAGTAGGCATCTTGCCAAAGGCCGTAGTAGAGCATCACCACGCGGAGAACCGCGGCGGTCGCGAAGAGCGGCACGGGCCGAAAGAGGGCGTCGAGACCGGCCATGTTCAAGTGAAAAGGTAATTCTTACTGGAGCTCAGAGTGTCATCCAATTGACGTATCCCTGATTAAATCAATTGATAGGTAGGGCCATTGGATTCTCCGAGAAACACAAGATTGCCTTTTCGCGATGAGAATTGGAGGATTGAGACCTCGAATGCCCATGTCGCCATGATGGGAAATTTGGGTGACGTGGGCAGAACTGGCAAGCCCCTAGGCTGGGTTTCTGGGGAGTTTGACTGTGCTGGACCCACACCCCGGGTACTCCATTCGCTGTGCCGACCCCCACTAAATTCAATTCTGACCCTGCACCGCACCGCACCGTACCTCACCAACATCACCCATTGAATTCAACGAGGGTCTCACTCACTCGACGTTACTCATCTCATTCAATTCGGTCTGCTGTACCAAACTCGAGATGTCTAAGAGAGATCGCGACGGAAACACGCGGACTCATGAGCCCAAGCAGAAGCCGGCGGTGCCCGAGTCGCAGTTCACCCCCATGTTTATGAACTTCCGAAATGAGCTCGACCAGCACCATGACCGGAGGGAGCGCATCATCAAGGCGTCACGAGACGTGACTGCTCTAAGCAAGAAGATGTGAGATTACGCCTCGTGGAATCAGATTGGGCTTGGCTGATATGAATTAGCATCTTCACCTGTCAAAGGTAATCTTTACCCCCCTCTGATGGACTTCATAAGTCGCTCCTGGTGTCATACGCTGACGTCTTGGTAGAGTCAACAAGCTGGGCGACCTCCCCAACTTCGCAAACAAGGAAATTGCTACACGTATGGAAGAGATCAAGAACCACCTGACCGCGATTGAGGGTGATATCCAGGGCATCAACCGCTATCGCTACGCCTACTCCCTCCGTTGCCTAGAGGAGCTTGTCGAAGCCCTCTCGTTCGTCCACTACCTCCGAACCCAGACCCTCATCACCCCGGAAGAGACTGCCGCCGCTGTACCGGCCAATGTCTCCATCACCGAGAACGACTACATGTACGGTCTGTTTGACCTCTTTGGCGAGATGATGCGTTTCGCCACCGTCACCACCGCCCAGACGGGCCAGCTGGCCGGCGTCGAGGGCCGTAACATCCTGGTGGACATCCACGAGCTGAGCAGCTGCTTCGAGATCCTCCCAGAGATCCCGACAAAGGACTTCAGGGGCAAGATGGAGGTTATGCGGCAGTCGGTGCGCAAGGTGGAGAAGCTTGGCTATGGGTTGGCGATCCGCGGCACGGAACGGCCCAAGGGCTGGGTCCCTGATATGAAGGAGGACTTCGATCCTTCTTCCCTGGACTAAGCATTTTTATTTTATCTTTCGCGCAAAAGGCTGGATGTCACTCGACACACGAGATAACGAATGAGACATCACGAATGGGAGTGTAAATGCAACTAGATGATTTCGTATGTGGTTAGGGCCAGTCCTTCTTGGCTCATTCACCTTGTGCGGCTCACAGTTGTAGCAAGACAGACATATAGGGTTTGGTGTGACAGCCGTTCATGGTATCACGCCATTCCCGAAGTCTTCGATGAGACAGACCTTCTTGGTGCTATTCCGATACACTCGGCTGGCGCCGGAGGGCTTTCGAAGATCCTCAAAGGATGCGGACGCCATGGGCCAGCTCGACTGACCACACGTTTGTACGGAGAATCGGATCCATGCCCGAGCTGCAGCGTAGTTAGCGGTGTGTGAACTTCATTCGCAGATCGAAAAGATGGATTTCAACCGTGGAACACCCGCAGGAGGAAAGATACGCACATATCTTTAGTGTTGTTAGTCTACAACCAGCCCAACATTCTTCGGTTTACTTCGAGATCTATGCCAGTGGCCTCTGCGCTGTGTTTGGCCTCACTGAGAATGTTTATCAATAGCTGTTGTTATGGGTATTTCTCCCGGAGAGTGGAAATCAACAGCCGATCATTGCTTACCCTCGGGTCCTCCATCTGGGACAAATGGCATGAATACTGCGTTATCGAATTGTTACGTTGGATTTCAGAGGATACTGCGCTAGCGCCCCGTCCTCTCGGAACCGTAGTTATGGTAAGCCGTCCAAGCTCTCGATACCATGAACGGCCGTCAACCGGCTTCCACCGGTTGATAGAAACATGCATCAGACGTAGCTCAAAGCTTCAGATTCTTATGATACTCACCTTGATAGAGAATGTAACGATGTTTTGAGACATTATCAAATATCCGTAAAGTCTTCTTAGCTGAGACAGAAACTGGCCAGCCACATGAAGTCGCAAGGTTGTCAACGAAGTCCGGAATCAAGACTCTTATCGGTACAGGCATCAGCACTGGCTGCATTCAGGTGATCGTTGTAAGAACGTTTCTCAGGCCTCTTGATGTTGTCTTTCCTCCACCTAACCATTCAAGTAAATCTCATATGCGGTTCGTAACAAATGAGCAGACTGAGCGTATCGTCCACCGCCCCGTGGGGAAGTCCGACGACCTATGCTAGCGCCCGTTGAAAGAGCCCAATCGGAAACGGTCGCCAAAGCTGGGTGAACTTTACAGTTACCTACCGAAGCCCGCGTTTCGCTGCCAACATCAAACACGAACACCCAGTTCAACTCAAGATCACTCCACTCATGACGCCCGAACCTCAGCAGCCCTCCGCGGGCCCGCCTCGCAAGGGTACACCCGGTCTCCTAAGCCCCAGTGAAAATGATACCTTCGGTATACTAACTCAAAAGATACCTAGTTGATGCCTTCACCGGGGACCTCGTTCATCATGACACATACCCCGAGATCAACCCAGTAACCGTCTCCGATTGCACGGCCAAATCCGTCCTCGTCACAGGAGCGAGCAAAGGCCTGGGCAAGGCGATCGCCATCGGCTACGCCGAGGCCGGCGCGTCCATGATCGCCGTGGTCGCCCGTTCGGACGTCTCCTCGACCGCCAGCGCCGTGCTCGAAGCGGCCAGGAACGCCGGACGACCTGAGCCGACCGTCCTCGCGCTCGAGATGGACGTGAGCAGTACGCCCAGCGTGAAGGCCGTGGCGGAAAGGCTGGAGACCGAATGGGGACGCTTGGACATTCTCATCAACAACGCCGGCTACATGACGCCTTTCAAGCCGCTGCTCGAGGCCGACGACGACGACTACATGAAGACGTGGGACGTCAACTACTGGGGCACTTACCGAGTCATCAAGGCATTTCTGCCCCTGATGCTGAAGGGAGGAGACAAGACCATCGTCAACATGTCATCAGTAGCGGCGCACTTCATGGGTCGTGGCGGGGGAGCCTACCACGTTTCCAAATTCGCATTGATACGCTTCACTGAGTTCGTCCAAGATGAGTACGCTGATCAGGTCAGTACCGAACTATGACCCCTTTCAACTCGTTCAGGAGAAGCGAATGCTCACTGTTGTCAGGGAGTCCTCGCGTTCTCCATACACCCCGGTGGAGTTCCCACCGAACTGTCCTCCAAACTCCCCGAGAGTCTACAGTGTAAGTTTTAAGATAACTCGGTTTGTGGTCAGCGTGACTCCTATGCTGAAATTGATACAGTTCGGATGAGGGATACCCCAGAGCTCGCTGCGCATTCAATCACATATCTCACCAGCAAGAAGAGGGACTGGCTCGGCGGAAGGTGGATAAGCTGTATGTGGGACATGCCGGCATTGGTAAGCATGGAAAAGAAGATCGTCGACGGGAATCTTCTGAAGTTTGAGTGTTCGGGTCTATGAGTAGCTTTTGGCCAGAAGACCGAGTTAATTGTGTTTGGTGCTTTCGGTCAGTTAATGTTAGAAATCTGTTGTCATCGTACCTCTTAGCCGGTCTTGGAGTTGAGTAACATTACGCACGTCCTTGCTGAGGGAACTGGCTCAACGTGTTTTCTTTGGAAATATTATGTTTCGCCTTGTGGTTGCTTGGCGGGCCCAGGTTATTTAGCAGCACAGTAGCCTGTACACTCCTTGTGACAAGGTATCTATCATTTCAGCATCGAACGTACAATAAGAATCTACTCTTATGACGGGTCTGTTTATTATCATGCTAGCAACTATAATGTAAAATATGCTGGTTCTGTGTATACATTGTTCTGACTTAGGTGCCCTGAGAGAGTACAAGAGCATTGCGTAGAGTGCCAGTCACACGTTTCCCCTCAAGGCCGTGAAGTTCCCTTTCGCAACAAAGGCGTTGCTAGTCCATAATAAAATCCGTTCTCGTCACTGGCTATTAGCCTATTTGTAAAGTTCGGCCGGGCAAGAAACCAGATGAGCCGGGCTACTGCCTCTCACCGCTTCTCAACAGTGCGGCAACTTCTTTTTCCCTTTCTTCATCAATTTCAGCCTTTCCGACTTCGAGCTAACTCGGGGCGAGACCATCAAGAGCCCGCACCGTCTCGAGGAATATTCCTCCGTTTCGGAGTTCAGTATTTTCGAGATGGATAACCCGCGACAGCCTGCCACGCCTTTGGGTTTTCGGGACGGACGCGACGCGTCCTCGGTCAACACGGAAGTAAGTCGCCAGCTCCCATGGATGCGATCAAAACACTCAACACCGCTCTCTCAGACTCCTCCCATCAACGCTGTTGCAGGTCGCTCGGCAGCTTTTGCAGCTCCTCACGCCCTCACCGACAGCCCTCGACCGGCTTATAGTCCTCGTCCGGCTATATCTACGAACAGCGTCGCAATGCGCGGTTCTCCATCGCCTTCCGGGCTGCTTCGCAGCCAGCAACCGGCCTCGCCCTTCACAGACGCCCAGTTCGCCATCATCGAGACTCTGAGAAGCCAGCCGATGCCGGACACACCGACCCCACTCTCGCGGCACTCCATGACCCCCTTTGCCAGGCCCCTGAAGCCCATCGCCTTGCCGAAAAACACATCGCTTGCCCAGCGTTCGTTCTCCGAGAAGACCGCTGGCCCGCAGCCTTCCTTGAAGCGCCCCGTGGCAGCGGCGTCGAAGGAGGACGCCTACCGCCCCGTCACAAGCATCCCCTGCCAGGACCCCGGATCCAGATACAGACCCGGCCGCATCATACGCAGCTGCGAGGAGCGGTCCCTCCCGGATCGCCGCCTGGATTTGGTCCAGGCCGGCTCTGCAGACAAAATGATCGCCGGGCCCATCCTCAGCAACCCGCCGGGCGGCGCCAAGACAGCGACGATGGAGGATCTGGCCCGCGAGGCCGTCTTGGGTCCACTATTCAGGGTAACGAAGACGCCTCTGAGTCCCGGAGACATGCAGCTGCCAAACATGCTACGAGAGAAGCGATCGACTGGCCAAGCCCACGAGGCCTACCATGTCGGCTTTAGCCCTGGCACTGAGGAGCGCTTGGACGATGGTCTAGTGTCTCGCGTGAATACGGAGTCGCCAAATAACAAAGGCACTACCCCGCGCCAATGGGCGACGCAGGAGACACCTGGCAAGGTGCCGCTTGAGAAAGAAGCCGATCTGAGGACGCAGATGGATTACTATCTCTACTTCAACGCTCCCACGGTAGGCACACCTCACCCCTTAGCAATTGCCATCATATGCAGAGACGAGCTCTGACACGCCTTCAGAACTACCAAGAGGCCTCCATCCCAGCCTGGATGCCACGTTTGCAAGCTCGCGTGACCTAGGACTTCACGCCTCGCACCAATCAGGGCACTGTCCCCCAGCTGCCTCGCGCCGGTCTGGCCAACAGCACAACCGCTCCAGCCGACACCTTTAGCATTCCCAATGTTCTTGAGTTGTCCCCTCCGACCAAAACAACCGGCAAAGGCTTGACGGTCGCGGCGGCTTGTTCCAAAAAGCGCGGCCGAGCAGTGGAGACGGAGAGCGAATGTGTCCAGGGAGGCTCAGGAACTCAGCGCCGCGACGACGGACAAGGCTTGCCGTCTGTCAAGCGTCGCTGTCTAACACCCGCTGCTGCAGCTGCCGCAGGTCAAAGCACTGGCATGAACAGTGGCAGTGTCGTGAAGAAGCGTTGAACAGGTTGTTGTTACTTGTTGGGGGGCATTTGAGATTGTCCTGGGAACGACGTTGAATACGAGCTCACTGGAAAAAGCCAAACACGAATGAGAAAGATACTGGAATAATCTTTGCAGAATAGCCTGAGACACGGCTTGGAAAGCATCCCAAGATCCATGGGTCAGGGGTCTATAGGTTTCCATATCCATAGAACTTCCTTGTTGAGGTACAATAGCCACGTCCTTTTCTACGTACCATGCCATCGCTGAACTGAAAGCCGCAGTACTTTGGTTCCATTGTTTGGCTTTAGTTTCGCCAAAAGAACATTCCTTCGGCCAGGAAGGACCTCGGCACATCGATCGCTCCATTTTGGCTGCAGCATGTCGCCCCTTGGCGAACTGCTCGTGAAATAGTACGCATAAACGGACTTAGACGGCATTCCATTCTGTCATCTTCCCGACGCATGCAAAGATGGACGGTGACAACGTACTTTTGAGGGTTCAAAGTAGAGGCAGCGTTGGCGGTGAGGTGAGCTGGACATGAACGAAGCCCTCTTTGACCCTGTTGATAGAATATACGTCGATTGTCCCTGGGGCCAGAAAAATTGAGTCTAAAGGTGAAAGCAGATTGAGGGATAATGGGCAATTGTTGGCCAGAGAAATTCTGAACAAAACCTCTGGGTTGAGGGGGTATTTGATGGAATCGTGTCTGGCAAAATGCGATTCGATCTCTATCCGTGTGTGCGCGACAGGCATGTATATGAGAGTAAGCGTCTCTAAACCCTTCTCTATCGGCTTGAGGCACAAAACGTATGTTACTGATTCCACGCGTTTTCCAAGGCGTGCTGTTACCGAAAGTGTTGGTGCCAAACGATGAACAGGGTAGCTGAAGTTGGATGCATAAAAACCCGTCCATACGACCATCCGTATCCCGTGCATATGCGTACAAATCGGTAATGCGCGAGATATCTTGTCGGACATATTCATAGCCTAACATGTAGGCACGAAGACCACGGCTTGTGATGGCTGGAGGTTCACGCTGATACAGGTTCGCCTCGGTCAGCGGCCTGACGACTTCCCAGTTACGATTTAGTGCTCCGAGCTCATTACCTTGGACATCCAATATTGCTACGTTGCGAAACCCAGCAGGGGAGGGCGCAAGCACACCTGTGTCTAGGGAGGTCGACACGGATGGGAACAAAAGGATGGTCAAATCCTCGGTTGTCCGGAGAATCTCCTGTTGGAGTCTGTTAAAGGCCCGCGAGCCTTCTCCATATAAAAGCGGCATTTTGGATATCGAAAATGCCCAACCGACAGTACGCCATGTCCTCCAGCCTCGAGTTTTTCCTTGTCGAAGCCCAGGACATGCGCTCGGCAACGCTTATACAGTCCAACGAAAGATGGCCAGAAAGTATGCCACGCCATATTCCGGTTGCTTGATGAATCAAGTCGACCAACGACAGCCTGGTTCCGACCTCGTTCCACACCCGGTCGTAAAACTCGACCTGGCCAGGGGCGATGAGTTCTTGAAGAGTCCAGCCTCGAGTGAACCATTTTGAATCGGTGAATCGGACGGCATCGAGATCACCGGGTCTTTGACGTGGCAAATCACCCAGGTAACTCTCGGAGCTGGAGAGTATTGGCATTTAGTAGTCGCATGTCGAGGGTCAAGTGAAGCAGAGTAGAGCAGCAACAGTTGTGGAAAGACGAAAGGGAGAAGGCGAGTGATCAGGCTGGATGCGTGAATATAAAGAGGGCAAATAACTGTCTCAAAGCAATGGTGCTATGCTAAGTGTCTCATTAGGGAGGTGAGCTCAGCCGCCACGACACCAACCCGCGTCAATAGCAGACCGCCTGGACGGATAGGCTGTACGTTGCCGCGCACGCACCGCAGCAGTCGCAGCTGGTCCCGGCTTGTCAGTGATTGATAGCAAGCTGCGCGGCCTGCCATTGGCGTCTTGCTGTCTTTTGCTACTGTAACGAGACACAATGCGATATACAGGGCGTCAAATCACCAGTTCCGAAGCCAAAGACTCGGCCGGTGCCGCTGGTCGGTACCCCAGGCAGCGGCAAGGTCATTGGAGGTGATTTCGCTACTAGGATGCGGCGACCACCACGGAGACTGAGGTTTGAGTGGCCGCGTCTTAGACAGGGGGCTGGGAGCAGGCTTGCTTACGTGACGACAGGCGGACGCGTCAAGGCCGAGACGACGGCTCAGCCTGGGCCGGTCATTCGCAGCGAGCTAAGAGACGAGTAAAGAGAAGAGAAGAAAGTAGAAGAGGAGTAAAACACTTGGGTCTTGTGATCTCATCAACGAGGCTGTCCTCTCCTCTTTCAGGATGTCCTTCAGGGTCTCTCAACCACAGCAAGCTCCAAGCAAGCTGTCGGATGACGGGCAGGGGACCATGGAGTGCCCCGTGTGCTAGACGTCATCCGTCATTGACGCCAGGAGGGGCATGCGGGCCCAGAGGTGTGGCGCGGCTGTGTCATTGTCATTCGTCTTCGAGCAATGTGACGCGGGTCCAGTGGACGATGAGCGAATGGCATTGTTTATGTTGCATGTGAGCGACGGGAAACCGACCAACGAAAGAACTGTACCGCCGTCACCAGAGTGACGGAGGATGGAAAGTCTGTGAAAGGCTTCGGAGCGACAACCACAGAAGCGGAGAATGACACGAATGGCAGCAAATTGGAAAGCTCCAAGTCGTCTATCTGCATGGTACTCGGGATTAGATCCTCAGGCACAAGTGGGCGCCTTCGTGGAGTACCGAGTACGTTCCTGTCTTATGTAAGGCGTCGGTGATGCAATGTGGCGCCGTCAGAGGGAAAGTGCAGCAGGCTGGGTACGTACCTAGAGGGGTCACGGGCCGGTTGCGGGGTAAAACCTGCCTGCGCCCTGCCAAACAGCTTCGACCCTGCAGCCTCCCCAAGCAAGCAAGCAAGCAAGCAAGCTCTCAGTCACATCACCTCACCTCGCCTCACCTCACCGGGCCACTTGCTGCTCGACCTTGCTCTTGTTCCATTGCCATACCAACCCTTTTATGCAGTCAATACTGTAGTGCCCCTACCTACATCTCGACTGCCCTGCTTTGGACGTGAAGAGAAAGACAGAGAGTGAGAGAGTACATAACACCACCCATTGCCGCCCGTTCAACACCCACCGCCCATGCTTCCGTCCACTCATCCATCACATTTGCTCATCTTGCATCTTACCTACCGTACATACAAACTACTGATAGATACCCAGATTTCAAGGCGACACTTGTGCAAATCTTGTCTGATCCATCCTACCAAGAAAAACAAGGCGAGACCAATCTCCCGACGCAGCGGACCGGCCCCAGTCAATCGCAGATACGAGTCAATTCCACTTCAACAGCGACGACATCCCCCAACCATGGCCGACAACAACAACACTTCGCAGCCTTCGGTTGACGAGACGCCCATTTCCCATCCGCCCGGCGAGCGCAAGAACTCGCTCGAGAACCACCTTCAACACCGCCCCAACCGCGCCGAGCTGGTCGAGAGTATGTGACTAAACCCTTAACACCCCCCGTTCTGCCTACCATTACGCCCCGAATCTGTGTCTATCACCATTCACATCATCGCCGCCTCCTACGATGTATTCCACGTCCCCCCTCCCGCTTCCTTGTTTCACACTGCCCCGTTTCCCTCCAATACGACAACGGTAGCATTCGCTCCACTTCTTCTCCAACCTCGCACCTCGTTCCGGTCGCCGCGTGCCCCCCACACCCCGTTCGCCTCACCCGTTGATTACCACTCGGAGCAACGGGGCACGGGATAGGCAGCTCCACCTCTGAGCCCGCTTGTATCGCCGCGCCGCATCGCATTACCATTCCCCGCATCCCTGTTTTCCTTTCCCCCTTCTTTCCCCCTCCGCCTTGAACTCGAGTGAATGCGGATGGGACCATTAAAGCTGACTCTTCTCGCCTCACAGAGAACATCCTGCCCGCGTCCAACGCAGCGCCCAGCTTGATCGCCCACCAGAAGGAGCTTGAGAAGCACATGCGTGCTGACTCGCTCAACGACAAGATCTCCCACCGACCCGCGCCCGAGGAGCTCATCAAGGAGGGCGTGCTCAAGGAGGACCCGCGCAGCCCCGAGGACAAGTACGCCGAGGCCATCGAGGACGAGTACGCCAAGCGCGAGGGTGGCGCTTAGATGGCCCACGGTTTACGGGTACGGGTAACGGGTAGGGGTAACGGGTATGGGGGCTCGCGCGCGGTGTCTTGTCAAAGTGATAGTGCCAGTGGCCGAAAGTGGAAACCATTGTGCGTTTATATCAAATTGATGTTCTTAGTATAGTGGTTCGATGCTCTGATGCACGATGTATCCGTATCGGTGGCGGGGTATTTCCCATGGCACCAACGATGATAGAAAACAGGATAAGAAACGAGGAGGAAAAAGGAGAAGCTGATGGTCGAAGGGTTAGGCCACGCAAAGCTGTTCCCTTGTTTCCCTGCTACTTGGCTACTACAGCACCACCGACCTGCTTCCGAGAATAGCAAGAAAAGAAAACAAGAATAAGAAAAAAAAGACATGCCATGACCTTGTTTCTCTTCAGCCTTATCGCGATGAAACATTCATCAACACGAGATGGCATTTTGGAAAGGGGTCCGACCCCCCCTTCCCATATGCTATGCACATAATACTGGTTTATGTGAGAGCGTCGCAGTTTTCTATTCTTGGAAAACTGGGCCGCTTTCCTCGCAGACTGTGGTGGTGGCAGACATGTGAACTCCTTCCTCCGTCATTACAGAGTATCCGTAACTACCTACTACAACCTCCTCAAGCCGCTTGGCCACCATACCATGTACCGACCTGTATGAAAGAGCCGACCTAAAAAGTCTTGGGGAACCCCCCCCCCCCGGCCGCCGCCCTCCAGCTGTCTGGTCGCCTGGCTGCCTTCCCGGACCCAGGTGAAGACTGTCCGCTTCATTATTGAGTTCTCTCGGCGCGCTCCCTTGTTGAAGTTTCCCACATCGCTCCCGTCCACCCCCCCTCTCATTAGCGTTTTGGCCATCGTCGGTTCTCCAAGACAGAGAGGAGGACGGCCGGTTTGTGGGACGGGTGGATGGAACGATTGGGATTCCTGTTTCCCTCCCCCCTCCCCTGCCCCAAGTATTGTGTTATGTCGCGCTTCTTGTCCCCGGTTCCGCGGGCGGGCGGGCGTGCACAGCCTGCCGCCGTCTCCTCTTCTGTCCTGCAAGTAGGTATTCGCTCCCGTCCCTTGCATGCATGCATACGGCAGAGCAGGCCCCAACTCTCTTCTCCCCCCTCCCCCTTGACCTAACGACATGTCCAGGGAAGATATTGATGCGGATACAGGGGCACACGACAAAGTGCCTAGGTAGCTCACGCTCATGGCGATTGCGTTGCGGCGAATCACCGTGGTCAGCAATCCGGATGGGTGCGAGGTGGCAGTGGTGGTGGTGGTGGTGGTAGGACACACCACACAGCGGAAAAGCAAGGTCTCTCCTGTCTCCCCATCTCCCTCGCCTGCATTGAGACTCTTCAAAGGAAAAAAAAAGGAAAAAAGAAGGTCCACCGCAGGAGGTTTCTCCCCAAACGCCCTGGCGGCTGGTTGGCACTCTAATTTTCTCGACTCCAGCCCCCCCCCCCCCCAAAAAGGGACGGAATGGCACACACACACACACACGCACACAAACCACTGCCCTGTTTCAGGTACCAAAAAGTCAATGACAGGTGCAACAAAAGATACGCCGAGATGGGTTTGGATAAGCAAAAGCAGGCGATTCCATTGATAATACCAAGTGTCGAGTCTCCAGGAATTGTTGCTGGATGCTACCTAGCCCACTGCGGCTGCTCGTACGCCAGATCTATAGTGTCCCCCCATAACCAAACCACCCAATCCGTGGCAATCTATCCAAGACATATGGACCCTTCCCGTCAGGTACAGCCCGTCGCTGTCTAGCCCACGACCTCGTCCCGAAGGAGTGGCCGAGTATCCCTATCATAGAGTTCCTTGGCCCCGTTATATTTCCGTATCCCATCCCAGTAGACATCCAATCATAATGATACAGTATGATGTACAGGTGTTTCCGCTGGTCCCATCCTCCATATCGAATCCAATAAAAAACAAAAAATAAGAACAAAAACGCTGAGTGATGCATTTGCGTTATAGAGGAAAGGGAGTGTGTTGTCATGAAGAGAAGTATCGATGCTTCATGCTCTTGCGTAGCTGCCCGTGTACTTTGGCGTCGGCGCGTCGGCCTCGTAGCCGGTTTGACGGCGGTTGATGACGGTGACGCCCGAGCTGGTGTGCCTCATCGTTGACTGATGGTCGGCGGCGCCGTACACACGGAGGTAGGCCTCGTCGCTTGGTGACACGGAGCGAACTGTGGATGAGCTCCTGGAAGAGCCGTACGAGCCAGACGATGCTGAGTAGCCGCTGTTGATGGACGCCGGGGCCTGGTGGACGACCGGCTTGGCGTTGCTGTATCTGGACGACATTTTATTTGATGTGCGGGTTGGTGGTTGGTACTTGCTGTTGGTCAAGGTTCGGTTCAAGGCAAGCAAGCGTTGAACGGATGGGAATAGATTTGTGATGTGGGTAGAGTAGCGTAGACTGATGAAGGGCGTGCTTTCGGTTGATAGTATTGTAAGGCGATGGCTAGAGAAGAGAGACTCCGGGAGAAGGGCAAAGGGAGAGGGCATGGGCTGGATATATAGTCGAGAAGTGGTTCGCAAATACACAGTTGATACGGGATGCCTCCATCATGTACACTTGGCACTTGCCATGGGCAGGGCATGCTGGTCCCAAGGTACGGGGCTGGAGGAGAGGACCCGTATTGGGTTGATTGCCTAGGTAGGCAAGGTACCTGGTCCTGGGCCCGGACCCGGACTAGGAGTAAGTGGAAGAAGGCCTTGCGGAAAGTCTCGCTGGCTGTGTCGGCAAGGCAGCGAGGGAGCGACTCAACCAAAACCAAGCTTGGAACTTGGCTCCGGGAAACGGGTTTGAGCGAGGTGTAAGGAGGCAGTGTGATGGGGGGTGGCAGCCCCGGATAGTCGGGGCTGACAGTGAGAGAGTCGAGTACACCGTGGAGGGAGGTAATGAATGGTATGGGCGTGTGCGTGTGTCGCAGGGCGACGGGGTGACCATTGGGCAGCTTTTGTCATTTCAGGGTTTCTCGGTTTCTCAAAATGCAGGGACCGTCGGGCACGGGTAGCACCAGACTGGTTAGCCCGGGTTGATAAAGTCCTGGCATTACCAAGGAAGCAGGGAAGACGGTTGTTGTGATGTTGCACATGCCGGTGGGAACTCGAACGGCGTTATGGGGTGTGGGTTGGCGGGTCTTCTGGGAGTGTAGGTATGGTAGGCGGACTTGCGCGCCTGCGTCTAAAAGTCCTGCTAAAAGTCCTTTGCTACAGGTCATCCCTTGATAATTGATACCGCGGTGGCGACACTCTCTCTCGTCGATTGGGCGAGACAGGCTTAGGTCGGACGACACAGGTAGGGCGGATTCGTCAGGGCGATGATTGACGGACTGCCGCTTTGTCACGCCCCATTCGCGCGCACACTTCCAAGTCCCCCTTTTCTTTTGCACTTGCCAGTTTGTCATCGTGCCGACTGTCACTGCACTTGCGTGCCCGCCAGCCTGTTGTCTATTACGAAGCAGTTACGCGTCCAGCCATGCCTTTGGTCTTGGTGTATGCTCAGCTTTGGGGGCGAGAAGTGTCATGTATTTGCTGTGTAAGTGGAAAAACGCACACTCGGCCGGTGGTCGCGGGCCTCAGAAGGCTGCATTGCGTGCCCATCCCATGGTTGGCCTCCGTAAGCGCCGCGCAGCAGCACCTTGGAAGGCTCCGGCGACGAGTGACGGTGCGTCCCAAACCTTGTCCTACTCTAATTCATCGGCCGAATCTGGAATGGCAGAGAGCACAATAGAAACGGAAAAGTTTTTTCTCTCTTCCCTTCCCCTTTACGGTTCGTCGAAACAGAACCCAACACAGCCCCTCGCTCAGCGAGACCATTGCTGCCCAACTGATGGCCCGATGATGCTTGGGTTGGCAAGGTTGTGTTTCTTTCTTTTTGCGCTCATTTTGCTCATCTCGCTCATCTCGGTGTTCCCACCACGGGAGCGGCCGCGGGAGTAAAAACCATCGTCTGTGTGGTTTCTGGAAGCTGGGCGTGGCGGGCTAGTCGGGCCCCCAACGGGGCCAGAGAGTTCGGATCGAGCCTGATGTTTGAGAAATTTGCTGGGGATACCCTGCCCTGGGGGCCCAACTGTCCACTGCACCGTCCATTCGATCGGGACTCCAAATAGGCCGGTATGCATGGTGCAGCGATCTGGCTACGATGGCCAGATTGCCTGCAGCGAAAATCCGAGAGGAGATGGTGGATTTCTGCAGCCAACAGCGCGGTATAGTGGGTTCATGCCTCTTGCGTGCAGCGGGCAGGGCGAGCTGCCGGACTTGATCGGCTACTGGAGGTCGGACGATGAAGGGTATGCGACACGTATAATGCAGTGCCAACCCGCTGTAGGGATGACCGAGCCGCCGCTGACACCCAGCGTCGTTTGCCTTTCTTAGTGTGGGAGTTTGGCTTGCATTGTTAGGGCCCTCGCGGAGCTTGTATGGCATCATCCGTCGTCTGTCATATTGATGCATGCAGTGGGCGGATAGGCAAGGTACCCTTGCGTAAACATTCCGCCGCTCCATTTGTGGGTGTGCCCATTCTGTCTTCACTTGCAGTAGTGGATAAGCTGGATGTCAGGCAGAGAAGTCTGACAGGCGCCCGCAATAGTGGGTGGTAGCTTGACCAGATGCCAGTGATGGATGGCTGTGTAGGTGTAGGTACCATGAGCTTGTCGAATGGTGACAATGTCGTCCTTCGTGGCTGTCGGTCCGTCATCAACTCGTATTTGGTAAAGGTAGCCGTAGTAGTGTCTTTTCTGCCTAGGCGGCGATGACGATTTGCTGATTTGCACCGCCGCCCTGTGCTGGTCATAGGTAGTGTCGAGGCTTCTGGAATGGAAAACAATCGCGACTGAAGTGGAGTGAGTGCATAGGTATCATACACAGTAGCAGTATCCCTCCCTAGGTACCTACATCGTATGTTGCGAAACTGGTCCAAGATAGACGAGGCGGACAAGCGACTCGGAATCTTGCCATGTATTCGTGATGTCCTTGTAGATCCTGCCTAAATAACGAAACGAAACGGAGAAATCCAAGGCTGTCGACGCTGTCTCACGTGCTGCTGAGATGTTCCCCACCATCACCACCCGCATTGTCAGGAAAAAGGAAGTTGCGACTGACCGGACCAGGATGCCAGGATGTTTCTTGGTTTGACGTCACCAAATAGGGAAGGTGGAGGGAGGGTGATTGACGAGAGTGTAGGTGCTCTTATCGATAAGTCAGATTTGGTCCACCTCCCCCCGGAATATCTGATAAGGGTATCCACTTTACCGTCGGAGCCCATTGACCAATCGGGGAACCGCATTGTTGAGGCGGCGTGTCTTCAACCCACCTTTGGCCCCCCTCCTTGAAGCTATCTTCCCGGTCCTGGTGGCCCGCCAGCTGTTCGTCTCCAATTCGACCTATTGACCGCCCATTTGCCCTTTCCTCAATCCATCGTCCACACCTTCAACCACCACTATCCCGCCTCGCCATACGCCACAAAGATACACACAATGCAGGGCCTCCTTCTCTCCCTTGGCCTTCTGGCCTCCAGCGCTGTCAGCTTTGTTGCTGCTGCCGACCTCAGGATCGACGTCACCCAGGAGGTCGAGTGCGACCGCAAGACCAAGAATGGCGACAAGCTCACCATGCATTACCGTGGCACCCTGCAGGCCGACGGATCGCAATTCGATGCCAGTAAGCTACTGTACTGCACCCCCGTATCAACTTCGAGGTTACTGACACCTTCTTTTCCCAGGCTACGACCGGGGAACCCCCTTCACCTTCAAGATTGGTAGCGGCCAGGTCATCAAGGGGTCAGTTGGTCCATGATCTGCTCGACAAACAAACATGGACGCGCCACGGTGGCTAACAATGCTTTAGATGGGAGCAGGGTCTGTTGGACATGTGCATTGGCGAGAAGAGGTAACCCAGGAGACAATCGAACCATCCGAGACCAATCGTTGCTGACGCCTCACAGAACCTTGACCATCCCCCCTGAGCTTGGATATGGGTCCCGCGGCATGGGGCCTATCCCCGCCAGCTCAACGCTTGGTATGGCCTTCACTTTGCTTGAGTGGCCCGCAACACTACTGACATTCTTTTGTAACAGTCTTTGAGACCGAGCTCGTTGGCATTGAAGGCGTCCCCAAGCCCGAGAAGATTGTCATCAAGGAGAAGGCCTCTCAGGCTGCCGAGGGAGTCGCCGAGAAGGTCGCTAGCAAGGTCGCCGAGGCTGCCGAAGTCGTCAAGACCATTGTGGCCGACACCGACTCCGACGCCCAGGAGCACAATGAGCTGTAATGGACGACTCCTGTACAGGAGCAAGTGGCGGGATCTGCATCCTATAGATGAAAGGCAATCAACGTCTGGCTCGGTGCCAGCGCGCGAAACTGAGCTACACAAAAAGCATTCCCTGGCGAAAAATGGGTGTATCACGAGAAACATACGATGTGCCACGACTTTAAATGATTTAAGGCGAGCAATATACGCAATTATGCCAATCACCACGCTATTCACGGGCGACAGATCAGCTGTCGGTTTCGGACGTGCTATGTGTGTGCGTGCCCTACTAAATATTTGCCCAAGCATGCCAACCGCCTTCGGCAGCGCTACGGTAAAACAAATGTGCTTGCATATGACAGCCATTTTGAGTTATACATATATGACATCACACATTCGGCCTCTATGCGGACAATTCTGCGTCTGTCCTGGGGCATCAACGTCACAGCAGGCCCAGCAAGCTATTGCATCCCAGTGGGGCTAATACGACAGCGGAAATGTTTCGATAGTGGTGAAGGGATATGCGCCGAAGGACGAAGGTTGCCGTAGCCAAATTCAGACCACATAGTTCTGAGGTATGGGAGATATCAGATGAAGCTAAAGGTACTTCCTTTTCTATCTTTGGTCATAAGCTCACGTAGGTAATGGTACAGGAAACATCCGCGAGGTACAATTTGAATCCGAGACCAAAATACAATGATTAGGTGTGTTATTTTGATTGCCACACAGCTAGTGTCTCTTACCGTTGTGACGCCGCAGTAACCATTCTGGCGCATTCCTCTGGTCACTTTTTACTGACTATTTTCCGTCACCATAGCACAGATGAATCCGTATCCAAACTATCCAACCAAGTCAAAACTTACAACTGGGTCGGTGGCGGGCTGATGAAACAATAATTGGTAGCAATGGTAGTGACGATGGTGGTGATGATGGGAGTGGTGATGTGGTGGGTGGATGGGCTAACTTCTCCTTCAGGGCCACCTAGCTTCTCTGGCATATTCCAATGTCGTTTTCTTGGCCCAAGTTGGAATTGCTTAGACGATATGTCTTCAAATGACATTTGAAGTTAAGCAGTGGCCCATTGCTGTCGTCTCGGACAAGTCTGAGCTCGTTGCTACGAGAACATCGAGTCTATATTCCCCCATACTTCATGATAATAGTCGTTGAAGAACCTTGAACGCCGTTAAGCGAACGACTGCGCAGAGACGCTGGATCCTTCATAGTCGCCCGAAGTCGACAACTCCTCCTGCTCATCGTACCAAAAAGGAGTTGCAGGATACCTTCTCGCACATTCCTTTCTGCATTGTATGATGTAGTTCTCCTCCCAATCCGCAAACTTGTTCGTGACTGCCACCCGTTCGATTGTTTCACCCTTGAGGAGGACGTTCATCGCGTTCTGCTCCTTTTCGCAAATACTTTTGAGCTCCCGCCGCAAAAGCCGGCCAAAGAACAGCTTGAGCATGCAGCAGCCCATGCCCTGTTCATACTTCCTTTGTGCTAGTAGTATCTGTCCCTCGTAGTATTGCCGGGTCCGATACCTGTTGCGAGCGAATTGGAGCCGTATGTCTTCGTACTTGCTGTCCCTCTTGTCCCACAGCTCATACAGTCCGCGGCACTGTTTTCTTGCAAGCCCTGCGGGGGAATTATCCCAGTCCTTGTCTGAACAAACCGCGGGCAGCGAGTCGGATGAGCGACTGGGCTCGTTAGGCATACCTCCGACAGGCATTTGGTTGCTTTCGGCTGCTGTATGAACAGGAGATTGTGTCATATTTGGCTGTGTTGGATAGCCAATGTTTAAAACGAGTTATTGAGATGGAAGTGATATGCTGATGATCTGGAAACATGGCTTCTATGCAGATGGGATTGGTTTGTATCAATATTATAGCAGATTCATTAAGGTAACTCCGATATGGCGAGGTCTCCAGTTCTGAAGGCTGTCTCCGGAAGGTAATATGGAGTCGTCGGGCGTAAAGTTTATGTGAACAAGAGACACGCGGTATGAACCATGGTAAGAGTGGATTATGAGGCATTACATGATAGCTGGAACACCCATCTTATTTGAGCCATGGCCAGTCTGCAACAAAAATAAGTCCGGTTATGACGTCTCCGGTGTTCAGCGTTATTTTACCAAACAGATCCCTCCTCATTGGAGTACTTTTTCACGCTGGCCTATTCATGTTCTAAGTATCAAGCTGTATTCAGCCCATTTGAGCTTTTGCTTTTCATGGCCAATTAATCTCTTCCTTGATCGTGTTCACACACAAGCTATTTGATGAGAGGCTTCTCTTGCATTGCTGACCAAGTCGATACTATCAGCCGATAACACCAACGATTAACGAATCAGTCGCTTTGGCGTGATCTTTGTTCGCACCAAAGTGGACTACTGGACTGTCCAACCAACGCTCAGCCAAACTCTTTCCCGTTTCCGACCAGCCACCATTCGCCGTTGCAGATAGGGCAAAGATGGATTCTACGAAAGTGAGTTCCGCCCCTGCGTCCAACCCGCCCAGCACGGCGTGAGAAGCAACAGGGATTAACGTCCTCGGGCACGCCAGGTTTGTGTTGGAATCTGGTTTTAGCGGGGAACATTCCGACGTCGTCGGTGGTTCAGCAACTTCGTGACCACGCCACTCGCACCCGCAGAGGATAGGACCAAGATGGAGTGCTTTTCTTGGATAACGCCTTCCGTCGAGCCCAGGACTGACTGTGGTGGGATTTTCTCGAGGACAGGTAGAGGCATGCCGTCACACTTCCTGCATCCGGAGATAGCAAACTCGCCCTCAATGGTGTGTAAAGTTTTGACCTTCTCATGTACCTTGAGTCGATGAACCCGGACATGCCAGTCAGGCCATCTGTTCGTAGGAGGGATCAAAGTAGTATCAGCGCTCACGGATCGATCGCCCCAAAGATACCACCTGGCGCTCGTAGCCTGCACCCCCTCTGTTCCCGACGGTCCCTGGACATAAGCAGTCACGAACCGCACCTGTCCCGACTTCCATTTCACAGCCCACGTCTCCCCGCCATCGCGACTGAAGGCAAGCGTATTGTCGAGGGCCATCTGCTTTATCAGCGGGCCTGTAGGGACGGAGAACGCGAAAGCGGAAGAGTAGGCAAACTTGCTGTACTTGGCCCTGTTCGCTTTCATCGTCGAAACCATGAATTGCCCGGGGGATAGAAGGAAGTGGTGGTTGCCCGCCGAATGGTTGCACACAATCTGCTGCGGTGCCGATACGAGTGCGACTGTATCAGTTACCGGAAGCTGAGGATAGGGTTCCTCCTCTGTTGTCCAGAAGACGTCGTCATCCGGGAGGCCGACCGCAACGAGAGTTTTGAGACACCAATATGGGGATTGCGGAGAGTTGTAGTCTTCGCTCAGATACATATTTCTAACGCAAAATTCAGCGCTTCACTGTACAGAAAGACACCCAAGACTTCGCCATGGGTTGAGGGCCACTTGCGGGTAAAGCCATCCAATGTTGAGTCCCGTCAGGATAGAATATATCTTCAGAGTTCTTGGCCCACCATCTGAGATGTCTCATCAAGAAGCCCTTCACTGCTCCAGGGGAGCCAAGGGGTCCCGGCATATCGGGAACCTGGGCCAGGGCTATGGCAGAAAAGTAGCCCCCGCAAGCAAAGCGATAGGTCAAAGACCTGCCGAGCGGGATGGCCGCTCCTGTGTGCAGAATGAGTGACATGGAACAAGAGTAACCTGTAAGGGGCCAAAAGCAAACCTTCCGCGTCAAAGTATCTCCAGAAGCTGGCCCCAAACTCTCTCGCTCGTTGACGGTAGGTCTCAGCTCTTTCAGGGTCGATATCGGCAGCGAATCGAGAATAGAGCAGCTGGCTAAACTGAATCGCAAAGCTCCCGGAATAGTAGTCTGCTTTGCGACTCATGCCAACAGCATCGCGTCTCCTAGTCTTTTCGTACTGCTCGATTTCGACTTGTGCCTGTTCGGGGGTTTGCCAGGGCCCGTCCGCCGACCAGCCGTCGAAGCGATAGAAGGTGTCCAAGAGCTCCAGGTCGGCGTTGATTTCGTCGCGGACGCTGTCGAAAGGAACGCCGCAGACCTTCGAGAGGGCCAGGTTCCCGAAGACCCTGAACCAACGCCAGTTGTTCTTTGGCATCTCCATCCCTTTCAGCATGCGGAGTCAGTTGGTGACGTTCTCTTTAGACTTTTTGTTCAATGGCTTGTAGATCCGGTCGGGAGCGGCAAGCATCGCGAATGCTATGATCTCGGCTTCTACCATGCGTTGGTCTCTGTCGTTGATCTCCCCCCAGTAGCCCGGATGCTCTGGATCGGTTCCGGAAACGAAGCCGTCTATCCATGGCTGAACTACGTCGTCGATAGACTTGAGCAGTTCTGGGTCAGTTGTCGATTCATACCCGAGTAGCAACACACCGACGGCCCATAGTGGCCGTGCAAAGCCTTCAAGCTGAGCCGCGGTTTCGTCAAAGTGTGCAGCCGAAGACACGGGAATGCGGATCCTGCCCTTGGCCGGCGAGAAGTGGGGTAAAAGCGGCCGAAGGAGTGCAAGAGAGGCTCGTATGAGGTCGGGCCGGGTCTGGAACGGGTTATCGGAGAATCCAGGCAGGGATGGCATGATGAGCACAATAGATGTCAACTTGGGAGGTGCCTTGGAGTCGAAGGAGAGCTGGAAGCCGGGATACAACAATCTAGGTCTTATTTTATCTTGATGAAGGCTACAGGTTTCACCTTGGCAACGTTTGCGCATCGGATATCGGGAAAAGTGCCGAAGTCATCAAGTCTAGGTAACATTGCCGGGCTCAAATAAGGAACATTATATCCGTACATGTAATCCATATCAATGTTTAGTTTATCTTTCCATGGCGAATTGGCTAGTTGGGTCCCATATCAGAGTCACTGCAGCAATGTGCCCAAGAGATAACACAAGATAAAATTCAGACCGTGAGGGATGAACCAAATCGTCTGCCAGACGTTTGCGAACACGAAGATTAGCATAAGCACATGCAGGATGGCGTCCCCAAACGGCCGCAATGACCGAAACACCAGGGATGGTGTTGATCTGCGGCACAGTGTAGGTGCCCCATTTGTTGGCCTGCCATTCGAGCTAGAAATACTCATCTGGTCGTGAGGCCACGCTCCAGACAGAACAAGACGTAGGCGAGCACGCCGACATACCAGTGCCGACCGGAATGGAGTGATTCTGGAGCTGGGCTTACGGCCGGAATCACACAATGCAACTCTCGCGACTCTTGTCATCCATCAAACATCTACCCTGGGCAACACTGATAATATTTTTCTCCATCTGAACTGCTAGGTAGTTGAGCGGTAGTACCTAGCCCATCATCTGTACGACGGCGGGCATCGGCCAAAAGGGGACCGGGAGCTTCTGTTTGTTCTCGACATTCCTGTTCACCCTACTATTTCTCCGCACCAATTCCGTTCCACTGAATTGACAGACTACTGAATCCTTGTTACATGACTATCACTCCCGGTTCCTACATCTCAGAGTGCGGGGAAACTCCTGTCTGCCCCTCTTTCTCTCTCTTGGGGAAAGGGGAAGAAGGTGAGATGGTCTTGGAGACTTGGCTGCTCATCGACTTGCCTCGGCCGATTTCAACCAAGAGGAGGAGAACCCTGAACTGCCACATACACTCCTCTCTACAAGCATCCCCCAACCTCTCGCCTCATAAGCAAAGAAACTCTCTTTTGGTCCCTCCCTCCTGCATCGTCGTGCCGCACGATTAGAAGGCCGACAGTTCTCACGTAACCGACGGGAGAACAGCGCACGACGCATCCACAACCGCCACCGCCGCCGCGTGCCCGGCCTGTTCGCCCGTTTCACGGTACCACCGCATCGGGTTTCCTTCAGCCGCCACCGCCGCCGCCGCAGCAAACCCGCTGCGCGCCAATCCTTCAAGGAAGTCACATGGACCTGACCACGTCAGGCCCGGGCTCAGGTCCAAAGTCCCACGACGAGACGTCGGAGAACGACATTCCTTCGTGCCAAGGTTGTCGTCGTCGCAGGCTACGGTGCTCGCGCGACCAACCAATATGCTCCCATTGCAAGCGATTGGGTACGTTAGTCAGTGGGGAATTGCTTCACTTCCTGACTGTGGCCGCAATGATGCTGATTGGCTGCATGCAGACTCGCCATGCGTCTATGACTTGAAGAAGAACAAGCCGGGCATCAAACCCGGTGCGGTTGATAGTCTTAGTCGCAGAGTGGGTACGTTGCGTTAGGAAGCTGGATGGTATTAGTGTTACTCAAGCATTGACAACGGTGCAGAGGTTCTCGAAAATGCCTTGCTGCAAAAATCTCACGGAGAAAGTGGCCTTCCTAGCCACACGGGCGGCACAGAGTCCGGCCACGCACTAGCAGAGTATCAGAACGTCGTCGGGATCCTCTCGCTGCTAGCCCGAGAGCTGCAGAAACTCACTTCTAGGCACACGGGAGGCTCACAATCCGATACACCCGAAGTAGCAGCTGACCACGCCATACTCTCTCCGTCAACTTCAAGTTCGTCCAGGCGACATACTGTTGATGGCATTGAGGTTGTGTCACATCCTCACAATCAGCCAAGGAAACGTCGAAGGGTGGACAGCTGTGGGAATCCAAACATTGAGCTCGCGTTCCCTTTGGAAGACTTGGAAAACATCACGACAAGCTTGCCACCACCTGACCTCCTCGAGGACATTATCAATATTTATTTCAGCACCGTTCATCCCTGGATCCCCATACTTCACGAAACAGTGTTCCGGAGAAGAGTGCATGATCCAGAACAACTTCCGGTACTCGTAGTGGTGCTGCATGCCATGGTAGTTACGGCCCTTCGCTATGTTGATAATCCCGAGACTCGTCCTTCAGCCCAGGAGATAGGGCGTAGAGCCATGCGTTCAAGGAACATTGTCATTCTAAATGCAATGAACCAGCTTTCCGTCGACAACTTACAAGCTCTAATCATATTGGCATTCAATGATGTGAGTTCACGCCCTTTGACTCTCAAGTGTCACTAACATGTTGAAGATTGGAAATGGCGATGCGTCGAAAGCGTGGTCGATTGTCGGGTCCCTAACAAGAACAGTCGAATATCTTCAACTGAGTGTAGAGTCTGATAATCAAGACAAATAGCCTCTACTGAAGCCTCTGCCATCGATTTCTCCGCCCCAGAACTGGACGGAGGAAGAGGAGCGTCGACGTGTCTTTTGGAACATTTTCAATCTGGATAGGTGAGCTTCATGGTCATATCGTCTTATCTGAACCCAAGGCTGATTACTTCTATCCAAGGTTCTGTTCAGTAACCACAGGGTAAAACAACGAGCACGATTCATCGGACCAAAGCCCCGTAGCTGATGCTCACAGGTGGAACACTAGTCTGACGTCTGACGACGTTCACCGCAGACTCCCAGCTGATGGCGGTCTGTGGCATAAAGAAGAGTCTGTAATCACTCCCTTCTTCGGAATATGGGATCGCTCTGCAGCCAAGATGGGCAACTCCATCGTCTTTCTGCCCGAACACTATCCGAGCCCAGAGAAAATAGCAGATGTACCGTCGCAGACACCGAACACCGCCAGTTCTCAAAAGGGGCAGAACACGGTCGACATGACAACCGTCGGCGCATTTTCATACTGTATAGAGGCAACAGAAAGTCTCAGCAGGGTCACTACTTATTTCCTCCAACAAAAGATCAACTTTGAGGACAGAGGAGAAGTCTCCAGTTGGCTCACTAGGTTCAAAGAGCTGGATTTGAGACTAGTACAGTATGTTTGTCGAAACAAAAGCTCAAAAGAACAATGCTGACCCATTGAAAAAGCTGGAAAATGTTTTTGCCTCAGAAGTGGAAAGACTCCAACATATCCCGCCAGCCAGCTCTCATCAACATGGACCCCAATCTGACGCTCGCGCATGTGACCCATAACACATCCATGATCCTCGTCCACCAACGCATAGCTTATCCAGATGCTCATTGGTCGAATATAGTTAAGCTGCCCAGCTTCTGTAGTGCGGAGACTTGCCAGGAAGCTGCCATTGAGACAACGACAATCACGCAAAAGTACCTGAAATATACTCCCGAAAACAGTCCTGCCACCAGTCAGTTCGCATTCTGTGTCTTTATCAGTGCAAGAGTGCTATTGGGTAACCCAAGCTAAGGCCTAAAGTTGAGACTCATGCTGATCATTCCCAGTTCATTAACCTTCCCTTCTATTTATCTATCACGTTCTGGAGCTGTTAGCTTCCAAGCGTGTATTACACCTATTTTACTAACACCCATATTACTTACGTACTTCTCCCCTCCCTAACTATACTGGCCCCTAATAGGCCGGCTCTACTAGCTCTAGCTACGCTATAGCTAGGCTTTTACCTACTAGTAATAGTAATATTTATAATAGTAAGCTCTATAATTAGTAAAGGTTTACTATTAAAGCGTAAGAGGATTAATATCTTTATAAACACTATAGTAACTATAACCCTAAAGGACTACTTAAAGCTTATATAATTACTTAAGGTAAAGCTAGGGCTAGACGCCTTATAGTATAAGCTAATAATAGATATAACTTAGACCTAGGCCCCTAAGGACTAGCTAAGTAAAATTATAGCACTTAATAATAGTTTTAGATATATTACTAACACCCTTATTAATAACCTCTAGGAGACTATATAATAAGTAAAGTTAGAGGGACACTATAACTAGGCGTTAGACTACTACACCTACTTACTTATTAGGACACTATATAGAGATATCTAGCTAATATAACTAAGCTAAGTAACTAGGCTAGTCTAACCAGCCTAGCTAGCCTAGCTAGTACTACTAGCCTAAGGAAGGATAGTAATAGACCCCCCTTAATAGTAATAATAATAAGGCTAGGCTCTAAAGGTCCTAAAAGAACCTAACTATTAGGGACCTATAGCTTACTTAGGAGATATATAAGGATAATTATAAAACTACTATATTAATAATTATATTTTTATATAAATACCTAATAATAAAGTATTAACTTCTACTATTTATAAAGACGTTACTTAAATCTATAAGATTTAAACTATAGAGATTAAAAAAATAACTAAGGTTCTAACTAGTTTTATAGTTACTATAAATAGTTATAAAGTAAGATAGGCTATACTTAATAGCTATATTAAGCTATCTTAATAGCTTAGTGTAACTACTATTAATAGTCCTTAGGCCTAGACGTTTTATAAAATTAGGGGGGTCTTAATAAAGATATATAACTATAAGGGTAATATAGTAAAAGTAATAAAGAAGATAGTTAAAACTAAGATATAAGTAATAACTAAGTAGACGCTACTAAAGCTATATACTACTAAAAGCACTTAAGACTAACTACTATAAATATAAATAGTAGCCTTTTTAACTAATATTAAGCCTTTCTAACTATTTAATAGCCCTTTAGTATAGTAGTTATAAAAAAAGTTTTAGCTAAACTAGTGCACTATATACTTTAACTAGTATAAGATATACCTATATATAAGGTAATAATATATAAGAACTATAAGACACTAAAGGCAGACTATAAAAATAGAATATATAATAAGCTATAGTAGTATATTAACTATAGAGGCCCCTTTAAGAGTAACTATAAACACTACCTAGTATAGCCTAAATAAGAGGGGTAAGAGATTATAAGACTAATAAAGGCCTAAAAATAAATTATATAATAATAAGGTAAATAGCTATATAAGATAGTATAAAAGAAAAAGGAATTAAAGATAAAGGTAGGATAATAGAGAGGGCTTATAGATCTAACTATAGCACTAAGGCATAACTAAAGCCTAAGACTAAAGTAATAACTCTAATAGGAATTAGTGTACTAACACTAATATAAGATTAGTATATTTAGCTAAATAGATAATATAATAAAGGACGTCTTAAAGAGAGGCACTACTCCCCCCCTAGTTAAGCTAGGTATATCCCTACTAATATTACCTATATATAATAATAACTAAGGATTTTCTATATTAATATAAGAAGGTTAGGCTTAATATATAATATTACGCTTACCTTTATAGACTAAGAATAGTTTAATATTATAATAATTTAAGAGCTATAGTGCTTTAGTAATAATAGGTCTATAATAAAGACTATATTAAACTATATACTCTTCTTACTTATACTACACTAGATAGATATAAACACTAGACCTTAGGTACTTATATATATCTAGAAGATATATATAAACACTACTATATTTAATATTATAGTAACACCCTCCTATAATATACTTAGTGTTACTCTCTTAGGGTAGCACTTTATTAATATATATAAAGAACTATAAATATAAGAGGTAATTAAGGTAATTACTAACTAAACACTAAGACCTAACATACTAATAGTAGAGGACTTTAACACTTAGTACCCTATATAGTAGCTAGGAATTACCTTAAACTACTATATAAGACACTTAGTAGAATAAGTAGATAAGTAATAGATAGCGCTTATTAGTCCCCTAGGCCTCCCTACCTATAATAGTAAGAACACACTAGATCTCTCCTTCTTAAATATCTCCCTAGCTATAACTAATATTATAGACTACCTCTATATAAGGTTAGACTACTTAACTTTAGTTATAATAATCTTTATAACTATAGGACTTCTTCTAAAGATAAGTAATAAGATAAGTGTTATTATAGAAGAGGAAATAGCACACTTTAAGAGGGAGGTTAAGCGTATAGCTTAGATTCTCTTAGAGAACTAAGACACCCTAATAGACCTTAACTAAGTAGCTATAGTATTAACTAACCTTTTATAAAGCGCTATAGTAATAGTAAGGACTAAGTAGGTTAAGGGGAAGTTAGTAGTATAGTAGATAATAAAGTGCTAGGAGGTAAAATAGATCTACTATAATATAAAGAGAAGTAACCCTCTAGAGGGGATAGTACTTATAGCTAAAGAGCTAAGGAAGACTATTTACTAAGTAAAAGTAAAGTACTAAGCTAACTAGATTAATAATATAAAAACAGACTAATAGTTATATAAAGTAATAAGGTAGTAATAGCTAATTACTTAATTTAGGTTACCTTCTTTATAAGATAATAAGAATATAGTTACTATACTTACTAAGAAGGTAGCTTTACTTTACTAATAACTACTAAAACGTTTTAGTGCTAACACTAGTATTAACCTATATATACTAATAGTACTATAAAAAATAGACTAAGATAACTATATAATACTTAAAAAGGTAAAGTTAGCCTTACTAGAGGCTAGTAATACTACCTCTAGTATAGATAGTATTATAGTCTTACTTCTTAAAGAAGCCTAGCTATATATTAGAGGATATATAAAGACGCTATATAAGAACTATATATAGCTAGGACACTACCCCCTACTGTTTAGGGACATAAAGATAGTAATAATACTAAAACTAAACTATAACTAAAGCACCCTAAAAGGCTAAAGACCTATTTTCTTATTATTAACTATAAGGAAGAGGCTAAAGAGGCTAGTAGTAAGGAGACTTATATAGAAGTATATTAGGCTAAGGATCCTATACCTATAAGTAGCTAGGGCCTTACTATAACGCTTAGCTACTAATATAGTAGTAACGCTAGTATATAATATAGAAGTAGTACTAAATAATAAAAAGTACTATATACTTATTATAATAAATATCTAAAGAGCCTTTAATATAGTAAATAGCAGTAGGCTAGTAAAGGCACTATAGAAATAGAGGTAGCTAAATAATATTATTTAGTAAGTATACTTTTTTACTACCTATAAGAAGGTAAGAATATACTTTAAGGACTATATCTCCTTAATACTCTTACTACACTATAGACTTCTATAAGGCTTACTTATATTACTAATATTATACTTATACTATATTAAACCCCTATATAAATTTAGACTACCCCTAATAAGGTTTAGCTATACTAATAACTATATAATACTTTATAAAGGTAAAATAAAAAAAAAAAGTAAGAATAAGGTATAAGTAATACTAAATAAAATAACTTTATAAGGTATAAAGAATAAGATCCTCTTTAACTATAATAAAATAAAGGTAATACACTTCTTATAACACTAAGTAACACTATAACTCCCTATATAATATAAGGTAATAGTAATATAGCTAGGTAAGTTAATAAAATAGCTAGGCCTATAGCTTAATTAGAAGTTATCTTATAAGATATATATTAAGAAAAAGATAGTAACAGCCTAAGTAATAGTAAGCTATATATATAGTCTAAACTAAGTGTATAAGGGGGCCTTACTATACTACTTATAAAAGGTAGTCTATATAATAGTAATACCTTAAGTACTATATGCCTCTAAAGTCTAGTACCTAAAGAGATAAAAGTAAAAGCTAAAATAAAATAGTAACTAACTAACTACTATAAGGTATAGCCTATTAAATAATATTATAAAAATATAGATAGTAATAAACATAGTACTTAAGGGATATCTCTTAGTATAGTATACTACCCTAATTTTAGTACTACTTTTTAAGTTAAGTACACCCTTAGTAAAGTAGCTCTTAGACGCTACTAAATAATAATATAGCCTATATATAGGCACTCTTAATAAGTAATACCTACTAGTTTAGTATATTTAATTACACCTAACTAAAAGGAGGATAGGGGGGAGGCCTATTTAGCCTACTATACTTATAAATATAGTAAAAGTAGTCCCCTTTTTCCCCTGCCTAGAATTCTAGCCTAAGAGCTATAATAAGTTATTAACTTACTAAGCTATAGGTTAGACTAAAGAGGTAGTAATAAAGATATATCTAAGATAAGTAAGCTAGCTCCTTAGTATATATATAATAGTATATATAGATAAATCCTAGACGTTATATAATAAGATAGGGTATAGCTATATAGTCTTTAGGGGAGTAGACCTAATGTACTAAGGCTAATAGCGCCTCCCTAGGGGGGAGGTCTATAATATAGAAATTAAAGGGGTATAGGCTAGACTATAAGTAGCATTAAGGTATAACAAAAAGATAAATAAGATAATAGTATACTTAAATAACTCCTTTATTATTAATAAACTTAATAAGGTGCTAATAAGGTTATTATAAAAAGCCTTTAGTAACTTTATTAATAACGCTAATAACTATAAAGAAAAAGTATATATTTACTAAGTACTTAGTTATATAGATATCTTAGGGAACAAGCTAGCTAACTAACTAGCTAAGAAAGGCACTATAATAAGACTAGTAGATCTTAATATTAGGGCACCTATATATAGTTATATAAGATAGTAACTAAGAGAAAAAAAGTAATAAGCTTTTAAGGCCTAGTAAGATAATAACTACCCTAATAGATATAAGCCTTTAAGGCTTTAAGTAAACCTCTACCTTACTAAGGAGCTTATAATACTCCTAAGAGAGTAGCTACACTAGCTAATAATAGTATAGTCTATATATAAAGACTTTATAAGCTACTATTAGAGATTTAGATATAATAACACTAGTATAAGATATAGCTATAGTAAACTTAAAACCCTAGCCTATCTTATATAGTATAGAAAAGCTAAAAAAAGATAATAACCCTTATAAATAAATAAGGAGGAGTAGTTTATATAGATAGTAACTATAGAAGTAAAGTAGTTTATTAGGTACCTAAAGGAGAATAATTTCTTTAAGAGGATATACCTCTAAACACTATAACTTATACTTATCTTATTAACTAGGACTACTATAGCTAGAAGGTAACTAACTAGATATATAGTAGCTAAAGCTACTATTATAGGCCTTTATTAGATAAGTTACTTTAGTAATAGGCTAGCTTTATAAAAGATAATAGAACGCTTTATTCTTATATTTTCTACTAAAGTAAACGTTAATATAGTAATAAAACTATAATAATATTACCTAAGTGTAAATCTATAAAGAAAAAAAGCTATAGGCCTTATAGTAACTACCTACTACTATAACTATATATAACTATAATATTACGCTATATATTTTCTTTATAATATTACACTTACTATAACTCTACTTATACTATACTTTTCTTATATAAGACACTATAAATATAAAGTAAAATATATAACTAAGCTAAGCCTACACTATAAAGTAAGTATATATATACTAAAAAGATATATAGGGATACCTAATAGAGATATAGATATATAAATAGCACTATATAACAAGGTATATAGAAGCCCCCTAATTATAATAACTAAAGGTAGTAAAAGGGGGGAACTAAGATAAACCAGGACACTAAAGAGCTGTAGGCACTTAACAGTAGGGAGCAAGACACTCTAGATTCCTAGGGACTAGCAATAAGAGCAGGATATAGACATATTTATAACTAGAGTCAGTTGCTTAGGCGCCTTTTGCCCTAAATAGGGACGCCCCGGCGTTAAATACAACAACAACAACAACAAAATTCCCAGTTCATTGGCGATACTATGACGCCAAGCTCGCCCCTGAGTTCTAGGTCCTTGTTGAGAGCATGGAGGAGATGGCCAGGCGATGGGTCGGCCCAATTATCCGAGAGAAGCACGATCAATGTCTCGCTGGAAAATACGCCGCGCGTCTTCGCGAGCTACACCGTGACCGTGAAGCAGATCCTCATTTCAACATCGACGTGTTGGGATACTCCAGCGGCACCAGCAGCCGAGCATGTAGCCAGGCTGCTCAAACGCCGAGTTTCACTCATCAGCAGGGCAACGCCCTGTTCGCCCCGCAATCCAAAAAGATGGCGCCTCCTGCGTCTTCCAGTTTGATGGCGCCCAACCAGACGACGGCCGTATCGCAATCTCGGCCTCCGCCCATTTACGCGAACCAGCAATCGCCAAGCCAGCTGCGCCATGGCTCGATGGTTGGGCCCATGGGCTCTTCTTTGCCGATGGCCGGTTTTAAGCCTCGGGACTCTGACGCACCCGATGAGCTCTCTGCCATCTCTCACATGCTCATGGATCAACGATTCATAGAAATGGACCGAATCATCAGCTTTGATGACATGGTGTTTACAGCGCAGACCGCGAATAATGGCAACCCATCTATGCCAGTAAATGAATGGGGCCAAGTTGATAATACGAGATTGGAGTAAGGAGGCAGAAAAGCAGCAAGAAGAGCAGGTAAGCAGGTCGCAATCTATCAATAAAGCTGTTAGAACCGCAGCATCTGCCAAAGAAGAGCGTAAAGTAGTTGTCCTATCTAAAGAATGCATATAGAATAATACCGAGGAGAAATACCTAAACGAAGCGATCTGCACACGCGGAAAGCCACATCTGTGGAGGCCATAGCCGGCGTTAGCCACATGAAGATACTCTCAGCTTCACAATAGACGTGCACAATACCCGAGTTGTTCTTGTCCATATTAGTCACACCAGCCCCATCTTTAGCATCCTATTACCGAACTCGATCAAGTAGTAGTCTCCGTAAACCAAACCGTGGTCCCAGTATTGCTTGCGATCTCGTCTGTTGCGGTTCGCTGTTGCGTTCTTCAAGAGAGCATCAAACGTGTCGCCCTTCTCAACGTCTTTAACCGAGAACTTGCCGTTTTCGAAAACGAGAGTTGCCTTCTCTGTCGCCAACGATAATTCTAGTGTGTCATTGGCGATCGTGATGGCCATGTCCCGGTATCTTGCACTCTCTTCTGTCCGACCTTGTCCGGCCAAGGCTTGGGAGAGGACTGGCATACCGTTGGCGGCAATAACACCCGCAGACGAGTCTCGGAGAGGGGAATTTTCGATCTCGATTGGCGCGTCGAAGTCCCAGAGCGGCACGTACCGGCCCTTCGTCCTATCCTCGCCCTCCACTGGGAGCTCAACGGAGTTGGCAGGCGTCTCCAGTCTCAGAATGAAGTATTCCGATAGCCCACGAGCCACGTCCAAGGACTCATTGTCGCCGGTCCACATAAAGGTTTGTGCGTAGCCCAAGATGGCCCACGCCTGCCCTCTTGCCCACGTTGATTCGGCGGCATATCCTTGAGCTGTGCGCCTCCCCTTGATTTCACCGTTCTTGGGGTCAAAGTTGATGACGTGGATGGTACTGTACAATTCTCCCCGCACCAAGCCCCTAGGGTCCTTCTCTGAACGCAGATTCGACTTAATCAGTGTCTTTGCGTGTTTCGTAGCCGCGTCCCAGAGATGAGACTCTCCAGTGCATGAAGACGCGTAGTAGAGCAAGTCAAGATTGCACATAGAATCAATGATGACGAGAAAGTCATCTGTGAGGCTGGCGATGGTAACTCCGCGTTGAGTCAATGCATCCCATGATCGAATTGCGCCAACGGTAGGGTTGAAGCGCGTGTGCAGAGCTTTGGCCGCCTTAATGATGGAATCCAATGCCTGTCTGTCCTGCGCAACTTCCCACCGGACCCTCATCGAAGGCTGGATCATGAAGGACATGTCATGGGTATCCGTACGTTTGGCCGTCGTGTGGAGTGGTTCTGACCACGCAGCGCCTAGTGACCAGAGTTTCGACAGCAAAGCTGTCTTCTCATGTCCTACAGGCATCTTATGAGGGAACTTGACAACTCTCTCAATGAGAGAGTAAATGCTTCCCGGGAAGAACCCACACGTCCAGAAGAATACCTCTCGGAGGATGTACTTGCCAGCATCTGGGCCTCTCTGCAGTACATACTCTGGGTAAGCCGTTGGGGGGTTCTATGTGCCGTTAGGGTCGGATTCTTTCAAATATTCATGTTTGACCCACGTTGTCAACCAAACCGTCTTCGGCTGTTCTGAGGATCTTGGCTGTAATGTTTTCTTCGTACAGCCCACCAAGTGGTGCCCTGAAGGGCTTCAATTGCCCTATCTTTCGCTTGTGGTCAGCTTGGAGCCGGCCACTGGGTTCAGAGTTGCTGGTGTCTCTATCAATATTAGACTCTGTTGTGCTGTCTAATGTTGCGTGAGCAGTGTCGTTGACGGTTGATAGTCCGCCCTCAAGGGCTATATCGGGATTGATCAACTGCGCCATGCCGGTTGGCGTATACAGTGTACCAAGACTGAGACGTGACTTTTCGATTATGGTCACTTACGATTGTAGGTACAGTGTCAAAACGGTCGAGCTCTTGGGGCTAGGCGTTTTAAGTCGCGTTCTGCGCTGCACTGGACTAAGCTCAGGCGCAGTGTTGTGACGAAGAGTGGATAAGGTGCGAATTAGTCGGCCTTTTGGTCGGAACGAGTTACCATTACCTCTGCAGCGGAAAAGTAGCGAGTTCAGCTCACAATTGGACACCGGTTGAAGCGTCGGGGTCAAAATACGTAGATGCAGCATGAGGTAGGCTGTGATATGGCGGCTCGGCGGGAGGAATCTCGACCGGACAATCACCCGATGCCCGACGTGAAAGTTTTGTTTGACAGATACCATATATCGTCCAGATACGACCAGATAGCCTCTAGTTTACATCAAGGAATGTAATCCTAATTATATCAAGTGTCAGAAATCTTTTTGATACGCCCGCCTAGTTATACTGTTTTTATAAACTCAACTACTTACCAAACTTTCGTAGTAGCTGAATGTTGGGAAAAGCTTCAATCATGCGGCTATTAATACCAATTATGGCCGCCACAAAGGTGAGCCACTACTTCACACTCTTTTCAGCAGACGCTGCAGTTTATCACATTGAAACAGTTCCAGGAGTTCACAAATATGTATTGTCTGCCTCAGTTGTAAGTGGATATATTTCCCCGTTCAAGACTGAGGTCAATAATACATGTACCTATGTACGGGTGCAATGTACCCCTGTTAAACACGCGCATTAACACTACCTTAAGATGTGTGTCTGAGGCCCGCACTTACTAACAACTTAACAAGAATCCGAGTTGCCAGTTCGGGTTCCAAATGGTTAGTAGGCTTCGATATTAAGTCAAGAGAATACTTGGATAGCAGATTGAGCTGCCACTAGAATTGACTTTTAAATAGCCACTGAGACTAGTCCGACGTTTTGTTAGATCGACTAATAATGAACCATGTCGTGAAGCTGGAACAGCTTCGTGTGGCTAGTACCAGTGGAAGACACCACAGATGTGGCGTACCACCCCCACGCTCGGCACTTCTCCGGTTTGTACATAGATTCTTAACAGGACAACTACTTTACTCTCCAATGATTAGACGCTGTATTTCATTACAAACTATCAATAGCCATGACGTAATGTTTCCATCTTGCCCTCCTTATCGTATGGTTGAGCAGCCGTTTATCCGATCATACACTGCAGATAACTCAATACCGCGATGCTTTAGCGCGATTTTCAGGGTTGTTATTTAGGGCCCACTGGCTTCCCCAAACACTAGCAGTTCCTTCAATACAGTACCTATTAATGCCGCTGATCGCCGCCCATGTCGATTAAACAAGGTAAAAGAAATTAGAGTCCCCGCAAAGTGGATATTGCACGACGTCGCGCAACCTCTGCCGGAGAGCATCGGCTACAGTAAGCTCGGAAGCGAGGAGCGCCCAAGATAAGATTAAGTTGAGATACGGTAAAAGCAAAAAAACAGAACCTGGCCAACTTGTTTATAACACGGCAACGGCCTGGCCGTGGCAGTGGGAAAACTTTGAGGTCCTTGACCTTGGCTATCACCGGTCAAGTACACTTCGCTTTTTGGTCTTTCTGGCTCGGCGCAGCTCCCGTCAAGTACTAGCTCAAACCACCAGCATTTTCAACATGAAGACCTTAATGAACCCCGTCGTCGCTTCGCTTGGGCTGGCCATAGCCCGCGGCGTCGCGCATGCTGCTCCGTCCGTGTACGCCTCCAACCATACCGCCGGTCCTGAGCTGAAGCACTGGCCGGCAGAGGCAGCGAAGGCGCTTAACACCATGATCGCGGCCAACGCCAACCAGAGCAATTACGCCGTCTTCGACATGGACAACACCAGCTGGCACTACGACATCGAGGAGTCCATGCTGCCGTTTCTCGAGAACAAGAAGGTCATCTCTCGTGATACCATGGACCCGTCCTTGAAGCTCATTCCCTTCAAGGACACCGCAAACTACACCGAGTCGCTATACAGCTACTACAACCGTCTGTGCGACATCGACATCGTACTTTGCTATCCGTGGGCAGCTCAGATCTTCAGTGGCATCCCTCTGATCGAGCTCAAGGGCTACGTGGACGAGCTTATGGCGCTTAACCACACCATCAGCACCACCTACTATGAGGGCGATGTCGTGACCCACGATGAGATTAACCCTCCAAGACCGTTTCCCGGTCAACAGGAGCTCTACAACAAATTGATGGCGAACGGCATCGATGTGTACATCATCAGTGCCTCCTCTGAGGAGCTGGTCCGCATGGTTGCATCCGATCCCAGGTACGGCTACAACGTCAAGCCCGAAAACGTCATTGGTGTCACTCTTGTCATGAAGAACCAGACCTCAGGCGAGCTCACCACCTCGCGTCAACAGATCCAGGACGGAACTTACGACCAAGAGGCCAACCTCGGACTTGTCATGACACCTTACCTGTGGACTCCCGCTGTATGGATGCAGGGCAAGTGGGCGGCAATTCTCACCTACATTGACGAGTGGAAGAAGCCTGTTTTGGCCGGTGGCGATACTCCCATCAGCGACGGTCCCATGATCTTCCACGGCGTTGATGTTGCCAAGGGTGGTATTCACCTCTGGATCAACCGGAAGGACAGTTACATGGAGCAGATGAACGAGATGATCAAGAATAACACTGCCGCCCAGAAGAGGGAGGGTCTTCCTGTCACTGCAGACAAGAACTGGGTTATCGTCACTCCTGAGGACATCGAGTAAAAGGTTTCTAGTTGCCACTGTACTATCAATTGATAGATTTAGAGCCGCAAAGGCATGATAAAACTAGATAACTAATGTAATGTTACATCTACAATGGCACGTATATGCGTCCTTTAAGAAACACTTCTTCTGCCGGGATTGTAGTCCTCATAGTAGGTTTGAGGTTTTTCTCGTGTCTCTCTTCAAAGACATCTGATCCTTGGAATATAAACTAGGAGGGGAGCTTGAAGGCTAAAGTAATCCAGTCTCAAAACTTCGAAGTCCACCACAACGTCATCCTCCAACATATATCATGGCACTTGTAGAAAAGACACGGAAGAATCATATCAGTGAGAGTACCGCCAGACGATGCTGAATTGTGCCAATGGCACACTGCCTGCCTTGGACTAGCGCGACATGTGTCTGCTGTTGGTTGCAGCACCTACAACCCTCCAATGTTTGTAATAGTATGGCTAGTGTTAAAGTGTTTAATATTTGTCACGATAGTTCTATACAGCACCTGTCAGGTGGTTTGTTAGTTGTTATATTACGTGGTGTTTCACTCATTACTTGCATCGCTTATGTATATATGAGATTCTTTCTTCACATCGCTACTTCTAGAGGAATAAGCTTTTCTTACTCCTGTTCTTATATGCCCTTCTCTTCCAATACTCAACTTCTTTCAATTTTCTTTTCGGATTAGATCTAAGCATCACTAGATCTATTCCTTCGTGTACATCTCATCCTGATCTGAAACGGTTGAAGGTTGGGGTGGTTTCTTTCCACTCCTATTTCATCTTCTGACCAGTGATAAACACGCTTTCTATTAGAGGCGGGGATAGTATTAAGTAAAGGAGTCAGCAATAGGTATAGTTAGGGTTTAATTATAATAATTATTCTAATATACCTCCTCTAATCCCTATCTTTTATAGAGTTTTCCCTTTTTATTATTCCTTTAGTAATTAGTTTATTTAGTCCTAGTCTTACTTTAGTACCCCCCTAAGGCCTTGCTCTAGACACTTAACATAATCCCCCCCCTCTAAGGTCCTGCCCTTAGGACCTTAAGCAGGCTATCTGCTAGTAGCCCCCCTATTAGCTACTTAGACTATTTAATAGCTAAGCCTTACGCCTAACTCCTAATCTCTTAAGGTCTTAAGCTAGCTACTTACTAGTAGTCCCCTTATTAGCTACTTAGACTGTCTAATAGCTAAGCCTTATACCTTATACTTATCTTCTAGTATCTTAAGAGACGTTTAAGAACACCTACTAGGCCTAATAGGCTACTAGATAAGTAGTTATCTCTCTAGCTAACTATTTACTTTTAGCTTTACTTTTATACTATTACGTTCTAGCTAGGCCTTAACTACTACCCCCTTAGTATAGTTTAGTTTTTTAGCCTAAAGTATAAGTCTTATATTACTTTACTTAGTAAGGGACTACTTACTTTATAATAAAGACACCTTATTTACTTATAATACTTTTTAATACCTTTTATTAACTAGGCCTTATAATACCTTTTTAGGTACTATATATTTTTTATTATTCTTATTATTATAATATTTAGCTTTTTTATTAACTATTTATTAAGCTTTAAGTTATACTATTTTTATAGTAAAAAAGAATTCTTATTTTACTTTTTATAGTTAGTATTAGTAACCTTTTAGTCTTAGCTAGCCTTTTTTATTAAGGCTTATTTAGTCTTAACTTTATAAGCTTAAGTTATTATTATAACTAGCTTTTTTTTTAATACTAACTTAAAATAAGTAATTTAAATTAACTTAGGTTTTTATTAATTTCTTTATTACTTATTTTTTTTTTTTATAATACCTTTATATTATTATTATTATTTTTTTACTACTACTATTACTACTACTACTTAGTAGTAATAATAATAGTAATAGTATTAGTAATAACACTAGTACTACTAGCTTTCTTATTACTACTATTATATTTACTACTACCCTTACTAATATTACTACTACTACTAATACTACTACTCTTACTACCTCTAAAGGCACTAAGGGCTTTACTATTACCCCCTTATTACCCCCTTAGTTTATTAGCTCTTTAAATAAAAAAAATAAAAATAACTATACTATAGTTTATTTTATTTTATACTATTACTACCTTTAGGCTATATTTATTTAGTATATAAATATAGCTAACGCTAAGGCTAAGTTTCCTTACTACCTTAAGACTACTAGTAAGTATCTAATACCTTAGTGCCTTTTAGAGGCCCCTTTTTACTTATATCTTAGTCCTAATTATACTATTAGCTACTAGTAATAAGTACTTTTAGTACGCTAAGATATATAGTAAGAAGTATATTTATATAAGTATTTTTATATTATTATCTTTTTTTTACTAGTAAAAAGTACTTTAGTAACCCCCTACTAACCCCTTATAAGCTACTTATACTATAACTTCTACTACTTTTACTTTTAAGAATATTTTTAAGGCTTTTTACTATAATAGTACTATATATACTAACTACTATTACTATAAGGTATATCTTTCTTAATACCTTATAACTACCTCTTAACTAACCTTTTATATAAAAAGAGGTTACTACTACCTAGACTATAGTTAAAAAAGCCTTTTAAAAGAAGGTAAATACTACTAAGGCCTCTAACACTAAGTATAAGGCTAAGGCTAAAGAGAAGAAGTAGCTTCTTTATAGCTATAAGGTTATAGCCCTTAAGGCCTCTACTACTACTACTACCTCCCTAGCTAAGTTAGCTAAGGTAGCTACTATAGCGCTTTAGCACTAGAACATACTCCTTAAGGAGTAAACTAAGGCTATTAAGGCCTAAAGCGCCCTCTTCTCTAAGTAGGCTACTACTTACTCTTAGGTTATATATTATTTTCCTTTAGTAACCTCTTACTACTTCTTAGTTACTAACTCTTATTTTAGTACTTTACTAACCTTAACTCTTAGTCTAGAGGTAATATAGCCTCTAGTGCGCCTAGTAGAGGTAAGGATAAAAAGGAGGAGTAGGCACTACTACCTCTTTAGTACTTTCCCCCCTTTAGGCCTTCTCTTAGTTTTATTTTTTTTTTCTTAGCTACTATAGGCTTTAGATACCTAGCCCTTAGGCTATATACTTCCTAGCCTTAGTGCTAAAGAATAATAAAAAAATCTAGCCTCTTAGGCTAAGTACTTACTTCTACTTAGTGTCTTTTTTATACCCCCCTAGTAACCCCTTACTTATAGTTTTACTATAAATCCTTAGATATATTTCTTTATAGCTCTTATAAATTTTCTTTTTTACTATATTTTTTTTATTTAATAAGGTACTACTTATTTTACTATAGTCCTTTATATACTACTATTTAGTCTACTTTATATATATTTTTTTTTAATTTAAATAAGCTAAGGCTTTACTAGTACTTTCTTAAACTTCTCTAGCTAAAATAGTAAGAATATATTATAAATATAGTACTTTATTTTTATATTTAGTTTATAGGCTTTTTTACTAGTAACTACTTATATTACTATAAAGAGTTTAAGATACTTATCTACTAGCTTTTTTAATAGTTATTTTTACTTAATAAATTTAGCTAATAATAAGACCTTTTTTTTTACTTTAAACTTAATATTTTTTTTTTTAGTTATACTACTTTTTATAAGTCTAGCTTATAGACTTTAGTATACTAATAATAGTAGCCCTTTAGCTCCTTAGCTTTTTAACCTTTTTATAGGCTATAAGGACCTTTACTAGTTTCTATCCTATTAGTCTTATATTATAAAGGTTTTATAAGGTATAACTTATAAAGGCTTCTACTAGTAATACCTTAGTTACTTTATACTATACCTTATTATAAATAAATTCTACTATTAGAAGCTATTTAACTTAATTATCCTACTTTATATTATAAAAAGCTTATAAGAAGTGTTTTATATTCTAATTCTACTACTTTATCTATCTATCTATTTAAAGGTAGTAGGTAGTACTAAGTTTCTACTTAATAGCTAGCTAGTAGTATACTACTACCTAAAAACAGCTAGTAAATAAAGATCTTTTATTTAATATTATTACTATAAAGATACTAAATCTTAAAAACACCTTATTTACTAAAAGGGTTACTAGCTAGTTTACTATAATAGTCTCTTAAGTAGGTAAGTAAATAGCGTACTTTATAAGCTTATTTACTACTACTAAAATACTATTATATATCTTACTATTAAAGCCTTTTAACTTTAGTAGCTTTATAATAAAGTCTATAGTTATATATTCTTATAGCTAGCTAGGTACTAGTAAGGGCGCTAGCTTTTTATATAGTAGGTAGTACCTTAGTTTAGTTTACTAGTATATTATTGTAACAGGGCGCTGACAGTGACGCGCCTGCCAATAGACCTTCCAACGCCTGGCTCTACCCAATTGAGCCAGAACGCCAAAAGATCCACCAATGCTCAAGTGGTCCTCACTGAGCACTGCTGTCAACACCACTTATATGGCCAATCGCCAATCAATTGGGGATTGTCACCCTGTGACAATATACCCCTCTCCTCTATGCCTTGTCCTCAAGGCATCTCTAGTGATGTGAATCTCCAAGGCTTAAGGTTGCTGATGTAATTGACCCCGCACTCTGCGAAAGGCAATCCGGCCAACCTCCCCTTGACGGCCAGGCGCCCAAGCCAGGAATTAAACTTCAAGCCTTTGGCTTGCCCTTTAGGCTTCAATCCTGCTGACGTTTATCCCGACCGTGGGATCTTGAGCATAATTGTAACAGGGCGCTGACAGTGACGCGCCTGCCAATAGACCTTCCAACGCCTGGCTCTACCCAATTGAGCCAGAACGCCAAAAGATCCACCAATGCTCAAGTGGTCCTCACTGAGCACTGCTGTCAACACCACTTATATGGCCAATCGCTAATCAATTAGGGATTGTCACCCTGTGACAATTATATAAGTCCTTATATACTCCTTAACGTCCTTCTTTATTAACTTTTAGAAATATATTTATCTAATACGTTTAAGTATATAGTTTACTTCTAAGTAACCCCTAGCTAGCTTATTA